GTGGCTTAAACTCATGCTGGGCGCATGTGCATACATGCCCAAGATCCTGAGAGGAGAATGGAGGAAAAGGGATTGTGGTGTGGCCATCCCCTGATTTCTTACTTTCTGTCTCTCTGTCTCTGTCTTTCTGGTGAGCGCATGCACCCTATAACAAAAACCTCTCCCCCAAAAAGAAAGAAAAACCACATTGTGTGATACAAAGGTGTGCAATGATTAAATGTAAATAAACTATACATTTAAAAAAGACCTTTTTGAAAATTACTTAAAGTAATTTAATAATTATTCAGCATTACACTAACAAAGCACAGCAGCACCAGTCCTGTGAAAAAACATTGCTCAATTACTTACCAGGCCTGGGAGGCCTCAGCATTTCTTTACTGAGCTGACCTCTCATCTCAGGGTCTGACTTGGCATGGGTTTGACCAGTAGGAATTACAGTTGAGAAGCCCTGAGCCTTACATCAGCCAGCAGGGGGCTCTCTGGCACAAATTCTTCAGAGATGAGCTTGTCAAGGAGTGTGCTAAACTCATGTGGTACACAAAATATCCACTGATGGTGTAAGGGAGAAATGAAGAACATTTCTAACTTTTTCAAATATACATACATCAATGTTAAGTTTTGCTAAGTTTTATCACTGTTAAGTGATAGTGAAGATCTTATTGGGATCCACATGTCACAGTCACGTTAGGTAAGGTCAGTATCTTGAGGGAGCCAAGGCAAAGCCATGGCTCATCAGCAGACTGTGGTTTTACATAGTACAGGAAGTTACTGGTTTTGTGGTCCCAAACAATGTGTATCTCCTATAAAAGTGGTATTGCTTGCACTTGGAAATAATTTCTGACCTGTTTACAGTCTTCCAAATGAAGAATTTCAGTGGGTTTGGAACTCATCTATTAAAAAAGTAGTAAATGCAGGGGTCAATAGATGAGATAGTTGTTAAGGCAATGGACTCCCACATGGCCAACTGTAGTTTCAGTCCCAGATCTGGTGGCTTCAAATTCATACCAAATGTGTGTGCATGCTTGCCCAAAATCCCTAGAGGAGAACAGAAAAGAAGGGTGGCCATCCCCTTGGGAGTTGATTTCTCATTCTCTCTCTCCATCTCTCAGTCTCTCTGGCGAGCACATGTACTCTAGAGGAAAAAGAACTCTGGGAAAAAAAGTAGTAAATGTATAGAGGCACCTATTCCATTTAGATTTACATTTTTTTGGAGAGATACTCTTTTTTAAATATTTTATTTACCTTTATTTATTATTATTGTCATTATTATTTTCCAGCTTGATCAGAGAGAGACTGAGAGAGAGAGAGAGAGAGAAAAGTGAGAAAGCAAGCCATTAGGTCCGAGACTTGAACTGTGGTCGGCCATGTGGGAGTCCAGCACCTCTAACCACCATGCTACTTGCCGGTCCCTTGGAGAAATATTCTTTTCAGTTATAAAGGTCATTAAAACTAAATATCAAAATAAACTGAACTTTCAACTAGAACTTCAGAAAATAGTAAACCATTTTTTTTGGGGGGGGGGTTGCTATAGGGCATGTGCGCTCACCAGAAAGAGAGAGACAGAGAGAAATCACCCCCCTCCGGGGTGGGGGATGGCCATGCCACCATCCTGTCTCCTCACTTCTCCTCTCAGGATCCTGGGCATGCAAGCACACGCGCCCGGCGTGAGTTTAAGCCACTGGGGTCCGGGACTCGAACTGCAGTTGACTACATGGGAGTCCAGCAACATAGCCATTATGCTAACTGCTGATCCTGTAAACCATGATTTTTAAAATTCTCACTAAAACTTTTTTTTTACAGTGTAAAAGTATTTTGTACTGTTAACCAATAATATAAATGTAAGGGAACTTGAAAAAGTTTGTTGAAAAATGGAATTAAGTAAGAGTTTGTTTCTGGTGCAAAAACAAAAAATAGAAATTCATGCTAGGTTTTTTATAATATGCTTTATCCATAAACTTTTTGAGGACCTTTAGTATTTAAAAACACTTATTTCAGGGCCAGCAGGTGGCATAGTGGTTAAGGCACTGGACTCCTATGTGGCTGACTGTAGTTTGAGTCCCAGACCTGGTGGCTTGCTTTCTCACTTTCTCTCTCTCTCTCTCTCTCTCTCTAGTGAGTGCATGTGCCCTATAACAAAAATTTAAAACTAAAAAAAATTTTTTAAATATTATTTCATAATGAAGTAATGTCTTACATTTGAAATGTATATCATAATATATAAAATTAACAAATACTTATATCATTTATAAATAAAAAAATTTAATAATAGTCACCCAAACTTTTGGAGTCTTATGACTCTAAGGATCTTTTCTAGTTACCACAGCTAGATTACAAACCATTCCAGACTTAGTGGCATAAACAACCACCATCTTCTCTGTGCAAGGATTCTATGGGTCAGGAATTTGGAAATCCAGAAAATGGCTTGCCTCTGCTCCCTAGCCCCTGGCCTCAGCTTGGAAAATTTAAAGGCTGTGGGTTGGAAGCATCTGATTCCTGTCTAGACCGCATCTGGTGGCTGATGTTAGAGTTGGTTGGGACCTTCGATGATGGCTGTTGGTTAGAACAACTACACATAGCCATTCTTTGTGGCTGTTCAGGCTTTCTCATGGCATGGTGACTGCTTCCAAAAGTGAGTATCTTAAGAAACAGGAAGTGGAAACTGCCAGTTTTCTCAAAACCTGGGCTCACAAACTGACATGGCATCATTTCCACCACATTCTATTAGCCAAGTAATCACAGATCCCATATCCAAAGGGAGAGGACCTAAACCCAATGTCTCAATAAAGAATGACATGGAGGGACCAGCATTCAGCGTAATGGCTGTCGCTGGACTCCCATGTAGTCGACCGGGGTTCGAGGCCTAGACTCAATGACTTCAACTCATGCCGGGCACGTGTGTGTGCATGCCCAAGATCCTGAGAGGAGAATGGAGGAGAAGGGATTGCGGCATGGCCATCCCCCCTGGGGGGTGATTTCTCACCTTCTGTCTCTCTGTCTCTTTCTGGCGAGTGCACACGCCCTATAGCAAAAAAACTCTTCAAAAAAAAAGAATGACACAGAATTTGGGGAGCATGATATAAAGCTTCCAAAGCTAGGGCTCAATCCACCAAACTAGGCTGTTTGATACACTCAGATGTCCACATTTATAGTCTCCAAGTTTCTCCTTGCTCTTGTAAAGTACTCTCTGCTTGCTTGTTTTTTTAAATAACTCAGGAATTCTTCCCCTCCTGGATTTTTAGTGACCTCCATATCTTTACCTCAGTTTTCCCATTCTGTTCCCAGATCCTATATAAAAGGATCCTCTCCCTGGAGCAGCTCCACCTGGAATACAGGTTAAAGATTTCTGAATGGGTTCAGGATGCAGATAGGCTGTCTTTCAAAAAAGGAGACTCACACCCCAACCTCTTCTAGCTTCCATCTGGGAGAGGGAGAAGAGAGAGGGGAGAGGGAAGGGGGAGAAATGGTTTTTGTGGAATGGCCTAATCTCAGGAAGTCACATTTTTTTTCTTCACAGACCACTAGCTGGATCGCTATGTTCAGCTGGGGACACCACAGTGGGAACCTGCAATTAAAGCAAGGGTCCAGGATGAGGAAGAACTGGCAGTCTAATCTAAAAGGAGAGGCTGAAGGGTTCTTTTAGAAGAAAACAGTGAAAGTAGAAAGTGAAAACAGTTTTCTCATGTACTTGATTGATTGTCAGAGGGAAAAGAAAACAGAGTGATGTGCTGCTGCTGCTCCCAAAAGTCAGAGCTAGATGACAGACAATGGCAGCAACCAGAGAAGGAAACAGATCGGAGATATATGTTGGAAAATACCTTGACAGGATTTGGCAAAAATCTAGTGGGTTAGGTAAGGACAAGGAAGACAGTGTGTCCAGGACTTGGATTTTGAGGTTGGACATTTAGAATAATTTCCATTTCTTCTAATTCTCAGATATGGTGATTCCATAAAATTTCAAATTATGACAGATGTTTTTGGGAGAGGGGATGAAATTGTTCCTGGAAAGAATCTTTGGGTGAAGGTTGCAAAGATACATGGCCTAGTGTGGCCTAAGTGGGTGAGATGAGTAATTTTACAAGGTCCTCACTCCACCCTCCAGCCTGTCTGTACACCATCTTCCCTTAGTTTGGCCTATACTGTCACTACTGAAAGAATTACTCAAAGTCAACCAATCTTTCCATAACTCCTCTGCCTCATCCTCTTCTCCATTACTAAGCAATAAATACATCATGGAGAGCTGTAGACAAAATATCTGGGGCCTGTGGGGACACCTGCATACTGAGCCCCAGGGACAGGCAGACAAAGAACGTGGCCTCCCACAGTTTAACAATCTCAAGTCACCCTGGCAACTTGGTGATTCAAACACATTTATTGAACTAATCACTAGAGCACAAGAGAGACTGAGAATGAGGATGTTCCAAAAATACAGGAAAACTATAGCTTCTTTCCATTAAACATAGGGGGCAGTGGCCAATGCTGAGGTGAAGCCCCCCCTCCCCTCACTCCAAACACAGCAGGAAACAGGTGAAGGAACAGACCCATGGCGCATTAGGCAAGACAGGAGTCTCACGGCTTCTCTATACCAACATCACCAGAGAGAAAGGTTAGGTTAGAAAGGCAATGCCCATCTCTCCTGCTCCTCTGAAGCCAAGGCTGGGGCCTGGAAGCAATTTTTCACTTTGCTCTTTTCTCCTGCTTGCCTTTTCCAAGTGCTCATGTCCTTGAGGTAGGGAATGGAGACAGGGGGGCACCCAAAGCCATATCAGAAATCCTGAATGAAAAAGATGAAACAAATATACAGAGACACAGCAACAGGCCAAAGGGAAAGCAAAAGACTTCATGTTCTCCAGATGACAATTCTCATTTCCTCTCCTCCCCTAGGCTTCTCCCAAAGCTCCAGAGGCAGCTGAGAAGGCTGCTCATGGACTTTGGCCTTTCTATATGGTACCTGGGTTGCCTGCTATTTCTCAAAGACACAACTCCCACTCTGGGACACTTACCTCAATGTTCAGTTCTGTAGAGTCTAAGAGGTCCAGCCTGTGCTCACTGAGAGAAGAATGGCTACTTGGCTGCTAGAGAGAATGGAGTAAAAAAATCAGAAGGGTCTTCCCTGCTCCTATTACATCACAAACAAAAGCATGATTCTTTTTCCATTCCTGTAAGAATAAATGTGATGGGCCTGCAAAGGCAGAGTGGGCCCAGAAATCAGGCAGACTGCAGGGAGTCAACACAGAAGGGTGCCTTCTGTTGGCTTGCTGACCAAGCCCCTTAATTGCATTAAGTTGTAGAATCAGAGAAAGGAATTTTCCTGAGACTGGATTATTTTAATAGAGGCTTTGCTCTTTGGTCTCTGATTTGAAGGTATTATCATCATTATCATTATTATTATTTTCCTGAGCACAATACCTCCACTCCCCTGTTCATTCCATTCTTTCTCCAACCCCAAAGAACAGAGAAGGAGAGAGCAGATCCCAGAGAACCCTGAACAGCCCTGCTGCCCTCTGCCTAGTTAACCATCACACTCTGGGAAGAGTCACAGCTGCAGCAGCTGGCCCGTCACCACTACTGTTACCACGAGCAGCCTCTAGTTTGAGATGGAAATGGGAAAGTTGGGTCTGCTTACCTGGTCTGTATCTTGCCATTCTTCACTTGACTCATTCTGAATTTCTAACTCTTCTTCACTGTCCTCTTCCATAAGGCTGAGTCTGATTAGACAGTGGCAAGTGGAAGGGATTTTCAAACGTTTTATTTATTTATTATTTTTTTTGAGAGGTTTTTGCTATAGGGCATGTGTACTTGCCAGAAAAGACAGAGAGACAGAAAGCAAGAAATCACCCCCCTCCCCCGCCCATGGGGAATGGCCACACCATAATCCCTTCTCCTCCACTCTCCTCTCAGGATCTTGGGCACACACGCACATGTGTTCAGCGTGAGTTTAAGCCACAGGGTCCGGGACTCTAACCATGGTCGACTACATGGGAGCCCAGCGACATAGCCATTACACCAAATGATGGCTCCTCAAACTGTTCTCTAAGGAATCCTGAGTGTTTCCTAGAGGCACTGGGGAGTTGGGGTGGGTCATAAGTAGGGCTCTAGGTTCCCACTTTTGCTTCAATCAGAGCTGTTCTATTCTGCTGATTTTACACACTCTAGTTCCATTGTGCTAGAAGTGTTGTGTGACCAAAATAAGTCCAAAAAGCACTGGAAGAGAAGCCCTGGAAAGGGGGAAAATCCCCTAGCAATGGGTAACAGATCTGAAGTGAAGACAGAAGGTGATGAGAAAAGCTCACCGGGTCAGTTGGCGGCCCAGACCAGGACCTGAAGGTTTGCGTGGAGTCTGGGAAGATGGCAGACCCAAGAAACTTGACTTCTGGGACAGGCCTTGGCTTGACAGAGGCTGACTGTTCAGAATGAAGCAGTATCAGTAATGAGATAAAAGTAATGGGTAAGATGAAGAGGTAAGGGGGTCACTATTAAAGGTGGGAGAAAAAGACATTTTAAAGCATAAAAAAACAAACAAACACAGAGAAGACTCGAGAAAGAACAAGTACTAAGGAGGGAACAACAGAATAGAAACAGCAAGATAGAAATGGGAGGACATCAAACTGGGAGACCCAGTACCCAGACTGTCTCCTTGGCTCTCACCCTTGGGCAAACTCTGGCTCTGAACCATCTTCCTCTTCCAATCCCCACAAGGGCTGTCTATTCTTCATAGCTGTAGAAGTGAGGGTGGGTGTGGGAGGGATGCTGTTCAACTGTAAGCTTTCTTCCTGGTGGGACAAGATGTCCTCTCTGTTATGCTTGGAGGGGCCTGTAAAAAAGCAAATGCACATATTAGCCACAGACCAAGGACTATCACAGACATTTTTACTTTTCTTGAAGCCTGCTGAGGACTTGGTAAGGGAAAGTTCAATAAGAAAATGGAAAACCTCGGGAACCAGCAGTTAGCGTAATGGCTATGTCGCTGGACTCCCACGTAGTCGACCGCGGTTCGCGTCCCGGACCTGGTGGCTTAAAACTCACGCTGGCCGTGTGTGCATGCGTGCCCAAGATCCCGAGAGGAGAATGGAGGAGAAGGAACTGCGGCGTGACCATCCCCCCTGGGGGGTGATTTCTCGTATTCTGTCTCTATGTCTCTCTCTGTCTGGCGAGCGCACGCGCCCTATAGCAAAAATCTCTTAAAAAGAAAAAAAAAGGAAAACCTCTATGGCTTCATTCTGTCATGCCTCAAAAATAAGCACAGCCCTAGGTACTTAAAAAGTAGGGCTTACCAAATTTATCTAGGCCTTGCCCATGAAAAACTTGCTGCATAGTTTAGAAAACAAGATGTAAAGAAATATAAATATACTCTTTGCAGATAAATGGTAACACAGATTGTAAGAGAGGTTCGGATTCCCTAAGATTCAGAGGTCTTAGTTAATCAATGTAGACATCTGAGATTCTTACCCAGTCAAGATTCCTATGGTCAGAAAAGGCTTAAAATGACAATATAGTTTGGGGACCAAAGACTAGAGTGAATGCAGAAAAACGGAGACAGGATTTTTAAAAAGCTAGGAAAAAAACGAGATGATTGTGATATCTGTGTAGTTCTGATAAAAAGGGTAAGTGGAGGACTCTCACCTACACAGATTGGAGAAGGAGAAAGAAGCCAATGGCTCTTACCTGAGATTCTCCTTATCTGAGAAAACCTAGGTAATGCTACTTTAAAATATCAGTCAAATTGATATTTATTGATTGTAAATATCCATATCCCCATTATGCTCCCTCCCTCCCCATGGCCATGTTTGCACTCTGAAAGCAATAACCCAAAAGTGAGCTGCTCCTGAATGAAATAGAGGGCTATAGAAAATAGGGAAGAGCCTTAACCATGATTTAGTATCCTCATAGAGGAATCTTGGCCCCAAGTGGATTCTCCTAAATCTCCCCAATCTATTAAGGTGTAATGCCTAATGGCTGAACCCATGGGCCTCTGCTCATCTTTATCTTCACTGGCTACCTTAGCCATTCAGGTTCAAGCCCTAAATACCACCTATATTCTGCCCAGTACCCAAACTGATCTCAAGCCTTTGGCTCTCCCCTGAACTCGAGTTTCTAACCTTGGCTGGCTGTTCAACATCTCTACCTGTAATCTCACGGTTAATGTCAAAGCCCTCTTCTTCTACAACCTACCTCACAGACAGCCTTCCCCACCTCAGAAAATAGCAACTCCATCTTTCCAATTGTCAGGCTGAATCCTTGACACCATTCTCAACACCTGTCTTCTATCCCACATCCAATTTGTCAGGAAATCCTATTAAAGTCAAGTTGGAAACACACCCAGAATTTGGCTACTCCTCACCACCTCTACCACTGCACCTGGTCTATGTACTCTTATCCCTTGGCTGGACTCCACAAAAGCTTCCTCACTGGTCTCCTTGCTTCTACCCTGTTCTCTCTATTGTCAGCTCTCAACACAGAAGTTAGAAGGATCCTTTAAAGACAGAAGCAGATGCTGTCATTCCTCTGCTTAAAATCCTCCAACGGCTTCCCAATGTACTTAGTCTTTATTCTGCCTTATATGTTATAGATTCTTTGGTCTTGCATTGTACATACTCTGCATTCCAGCCATAATGGTATTCTCTGCTGTCCCTTGAACATGCCCACTCCCTGTCTTTGGATTGGCAACTCCTCTGATATCCTCCCTCACCTCTATTAAATGAAATAGAGAGATTAACTCCATGGCCTAGTAGTTAAAGGAGCCAGATCCCACATGGCTGAACACATCCTTCAAATCCCTGCCCCGGCAGCCTGAAAAATATGCCAGGCATGTGTACACGTGTGCCCCAAATCCTGACAGTATGGCGAAATAGAGAATGGACTGCAGCATGACCGTGCCTTACTGGGGGTGCTTTCTCCCTTTTTCTCTCTCTGGGGAGCACACATGCCCTTTGGAAATAAACAAACAGATAAATAACTGGGAGGCCACTGGGTTGCAATGGCTCCAGCATCTTGGAAAACTGAAACCCCACTCAGAGTATACAGGAAAACAAAACAAGCTTAACCAATCAGAAACTACTAACCCCTAACTAAACTTTACCAATCAGGAGCCATCAAATAACCTCACTAGAGGCTTTCCACTTTAATCAATCAACTATTTTCTTTGTCTTGCTCCCACAAAAACCTTATAAAAGCTTTCCCTGGGTGCCTCCCCTCCCACGCCCGCCTCAGTGGCACCCCGAACTGCTGGCTGGTATGGTGTTGCCTGGCTCATGAATCATTGAATGAAAAAATAAGTTAAAGTGTCTAAGTTTTCCTTTCAACACTCCCTTTAATGTTTTTGCTGAACATTCCCATTCTGAGTGAGGCTTTCCCCTGCTCAGCCTTTGTCACTCTTTGTAAGACTGTAATCCCCATCCACCAGCATTCCCTCTCTTGTGTTTTCTTTTTTCTTTTTCTTTTTGCCATAGTACTTATCACTATCTGACAATCTCTAGAGAGATTTTTGTGTTCTCTGCTATATTCCCAGCACATAAGCTCAATACAACAAATGAACAATAGAACCAATCTCAATACAACAAAAGAACAATAGAACCAATCTTTTCAGTTTGATCTCACCTTTACAAACCTGTTATTTTAGGCCAATCAACCAACACATCTATGTTTTGGCTAACAAATACCTGTTTTGCTTGTGCTATTCTGCTAGCTCATGATGGTCATTATTCCTCTGGTCAGTATGTATAAATCCTACCCATTTTTTTTGTTTATTAAAATACTGAGTTTATTTCACGTTTATTTTTATTTTGTCTCCCCACCATTTCCATGTCTGACCACCACTACTATGTCCTATCCTAACAGTCCAACATTCTCAAAACCAAGCAAAGGGTGGAGTTCTAGCTTTAAAACTAAACAGGTGGGACCAGCAGATGGCATAATGGTTATATCACTGGACTTCCACGTAGTCAACTACCGTTCAAGGCCCTGACTCAGCAGCTTAAACTCAGGCTAGGCATATGTGAGTGTGTTCCCAAAATCCTGAAAGGAGAATGGAGGAGAAGGGATTATGGTATGGCCATCCCACGTGGCGGGGGTTGATTTCTTGCTTTCTGTCTCTCTCTCTGGTGAGCACATGTGCCCTATAGTAAAAATCTCTCTAGGAAAAAAAAAAATTAAACAGGCATTCTGGACAGCACATTTTTGGCAATGAAACCTAGACAACATTTCTCAAACACAGTAGGGATAGTTCTCACTCTGTATTATAAAAAAAGACAGCCAGATATCAACTCTCATGGAAATAAGATGGAAAATTTTAACAAATTGTTTAAACTATTTTCTTAAAGAGACTTCCTCCACAGCGAGATCTTGAATAGATTCCTGCTCAGTCATCTGGAAGCAATTCTTCACGTAATTGATGAACTTGGCTTCCACTCTGGAAAGAGAACCACCTTTTTCTATCCTTGCTTGCATTTTTGCTTTAATGTCTTCTACAGAACTAGGTCCTTTCAGTGTTTTAAAAGTTATTTTTCTTTTTAAAAAAATTATTGACCTTTCAATCTTTGCCAGGAGAAAATCATATAGATTTCTTCACTGGAGTTTTTTCTTTTTCTTCATTTTTTTAAAAAGAATTATTTTATTTAACTTTATTTAATTGTTTTAATTTGACCAATAAAGGACAGAGAGAGGGGGTGGGAGTGAGTGAGGAAGCTGCCAGCTCTGGGACTCGAACCACAGTCAGCTACATGGGAGTCCAGTGCCCTTAACCACCATGCCACTTGCAGACCCCTGTTGCCTTATCTTCCAAATTATCATCATCATCTTCATCAGCAAGTTTTACTTTTTTCTGTGGAACCTAGCTACTATCTCCAAAGGCAGATCGCTTTCCGGATATACTTAAGAGTTTAATATCCTCCTCCTTTTGGGACTCTGCATCTTCCTTCACAGCTACCAAGTGCTATCCACTAATATGCACAGGCCTTAAACCTCACTTCAACCTTAAGATCACAGGTGGTATTATTTCAAGGACTAGAGAGAAACAGTTGGCTGTACATTTTCAATGTTGCCAGTGTTACTTTAATTGGACTGCCTTCATAATTCATTGCCTCTGCTTCAAAAATGTGTAATTCATCCTTTGTACCAGCACTTAAACTGATAATTCTTTTCTTTTTCTTTTCTGAACTGACCATTCTTAAAGATAATTGGTGTTGATTTTCATCATTGTTAGCCTTTAGTTCACAACCAGAAAGACAGTTCTGGAGCCTCAGGGGGTTCATGTCTATGTCCATTGAATCTTCTATTGTGGTGGTGGCATGCACTTAGGTGGGAGAGAAAATGGATGGATAAATGACCATGGCTCCTAAAATCAGTTGTGCAGGATGGAATTACTCCAGGGACTGAATCCTACCTTTTTTTAAAAAAAAAAAAAAAAAAAAAGATT